GCGTTGCTTTCTCTTCGTCTTGATGAAGAAAGAGAGAAAAGAGAGAGAGAGAGAGAGAGAGAGAGAGACTCGCTCAGAAAGGACGACCGCTCCGACCGGAGACTTATTTCGACAGCTCCGTGTCAATTAGCGGAATTAATCGCGCACCTTAGGATCTGTATTTTTCTTCCTTTGTGCCCGGCAATGAAATGGAAACTGTGATGCTTCTCACGTGCGACGCGCGTGGTCAATACCCGACGAGGTCAATTGGTCAGTTGGGAGCGGTGAGCGGAGGGGGGGGGGGCCGCCGCGCGCGAGTGGTTTTTTTTCTAATTTATATTTTACAAGTACAAGGTGGTTTTTTCTTCTTTTCCAAACACGATATATGGCATTCGTGCTGGAAAACACACGGGAAGGAGGCACGACGCGGGGCGTCGCGATTTCCTTGATCCTCTGCATATTTCATCGGCATTTCGGGATTTTGGTGGGGGATGTCGGGATTTCCTGCTACATCGGTCCTTCACATTTTTACACACCTGCTTCTCTCCCTCTCTCTCTCTCTCTCTCTCTCTCTCTCTCTCTTTCGGGCTCTTTTGAAATTTCACCGTATCACTCATGATACCGGGTTGTTCGATAAGTCCGCGGGGATTTTGACGAAAAGCTCCGAGCCGATAACCTCACAGTCTGGCACCATTTGATTCCTTTCGTTATCCTCTCCGACGATGCGCCATCGGAAAAGCGATCGAAATACATTATTGAACAAACTTATACCCGGACTGTACGAAGACACTGAGCTCTTGGCAAAAATCCGCAGCAACTCGGTGCCGAGCAAGCCAATACATAATCTCGCTTTCGTAATGGAAGTACGCGCGTGACGTGCGCGCGTCCGCGTCCGCGTCCGCGTCCGCGTCCGGGCGGACGGAAGCGGGCAATCGCGCTACGGAGAACTGTCCGCGCGCGCGCGCGCGCGACGTCAATCGCGCGACACTCTTCGGAAATAATGCAAGCGGCGAGCGTGTTCGCCGCGTACGTAAACAGCGGGAATCGCGCGCTCTTTCTCCTCTCCCTCATCCTCATATCGATTCTCGCCAGCACTCGCGACGCGATCTCGCCTCGCGCGCGCACGCCGCGCCGGCGCTCGATTGAGCGAGCGTGCACGCAGGCCGAGCGCTCCAGGATGTAGTCTATAATCGCTTCCTCTGCCTAGCCGATTGGTGGTGGTAGCGAGGGCTCGCTCGTTGTACGTATCCGCCGCGCGCGTGTACACAAGCGGAGACACGATCGATTCCGCCGATCAATGTTCCCTAATACAGGGTGCTTCGGCAATTGCCGCCGCCGCTCTGCAGCCTCAGACGGGGCACAGATATATCCGATCGCTAATCTTTGGACAGTCGCGCGCGCGAATCTCCGGGTGTGATACACTCGTCGATATCCCGTTGTCATCGGTTCCACGCGGACGCACGCGGTTTCACGGCGAAACCGTGTCACGGCCGGCGTAAATCGGTTCCGCGCGGCTTACGCGGAGAGGGCATTTTTTTCGGAGGACGTTAACATTTTGCCGGCCGCTTACTTCTCGCATCGCCTTTACGGCTGCCGCCGGCGAATTTCGCGCGGGTTCTACTGCTCGCCGACGGTGATATTAAAGAATGTCGAGAAAAGACAATCGGGATGGTTAAAACAGAAGCATAGCGGAAACATTGTTGCCGCGCTGAACCGAAGTCACGCGTACATGACAGCGGCCGATAACCGTCGGCGAGCAAATGTCACGCGTACGTGACAGCGGCCGGCAGAGTGTTAACGTTTCTCGTACTTCTCGGGAAACTATCATAACCGGCTCGTCCGGTTGCGGTGTACTCGTATCATTCAAAGTGCTCGAAAGCTGGTGCTTAAAAACATCTCGAGTATTATTATACTAAAAGGATGCTTAGGTGTTGCAAAATTTTTGATTTTTTTATTATTTTCTTTCTTTCCTTTCTTTCTTTCTTTCTTCCTTTCTTTCTTTCTCCTCATCCTTTTTCTTTCCTCTTCCTTTTTCTACTTTCTTCCCCTATTTACATCGTATGATAATCCTCTTGCTCGTTATGCTATTGTCTCAACTATTGCACACCAAAGAGGTCAGACCCGTATATTATCGATAAATAAATAAATACATATTGGAGGTGGTTCGACAAAGTGGTCAAGTATTAAAAGATATTCAACAAAGGCACTCGAAGACACAAGTTGCGAATTTTCATGTTGTGAGGTAAAAGCACCGAGGTGTGTCCAACTGCGGACATTCTTACCGCTCGGACTTGTAAATTCAAATATTTAAATTTCCAACACGCACACGCGCACACACTCTGTTGGCCGGGAGCTAAAGGCTCGTCTACAATAGCTGCAAGAGTAAGGCTGTAGGGCCGTAACGTAAGCTGTCAGCGAATGAAAATATTTCATTTCGTGTCTTGCAACCTTACAGCCTTCCTCTTGCAGCTAATGCAGACGAGCCTTTAAATATCCGTACTTAGAGACCGAGACAAAATAGAGAGCGGTTAAAAATGTCCCCACCGGTTAGATACGCGGATCCCGACGTCGCTGCTTCGAAAGTTCAGAGGTTAGCCGAGCGAGCGCTACTGATGAATCGTCGCGACATAAATTTGGACTTCGACGTGAATATATCCCGCTCGCGCGCGATACACTTATTCAAGAAGCGCTACGTTATCCAAGAAAAATTTCGCCCGCGCAGCGACGTTATCCGTTATTCGGGGCGGGCCGCGAGCGGAACGGTTTAACATACGTCCCACATTATGTCAGACAGTGCGCGAGCGGAGCGATATATGTGTCTCGGTGTATATCTAAGCATAAAATATTCTACCTTGTCGAGGAGCCGGCTCGCGTATGCTTCGCCTCGCGTGAATAACGGCTTCTCGCCGTACCTCGCGGACTCACGCGGTCGAATTAAACGATCGCCCGAGGTCCTGCCGCGGCGAGAGACGCGCGAGGACCTCGGCTCGCGAGGGATCCTCGCGCTCGGACTCAGCGCGAGGCGAGGCGGCGCGCGGAGCGCGCTAAGCGAGAATTTGCACGGGCCTTTAGCCGGAGGCGCCGCCACCTTTGGAACCGCCTCTAATTAATAGCTACCAAGGGAGAGACGAGTCGCGTGGATATCGCGCTGTTCCAAGGCGTGACGAGCCAATCGCCCGGCGACGGACAGCTTTGCGCCGAGATCGCGCGGGCTGCTCCACTTGCTTGCGACTCCCGATTCGCGTCGGCAAGGACACGCGCGGGTAACATTGCGTTATTGACTGCGTAAAATCCTCGGTACCCCCCTCCCCCACAGCCTTGAGAAATTTCACAAATACGCATTCGCCGATGTATCCGCAGGCTGGGGGAAGCAGGAACGCGCTTGCCGAATTTACGGAGGAAATCGCGCGAGATATCTTCTGTGATTGAGATCTCCGAGAAAAGAAACGAGAGAGGGGAACATTATCGCGAGCCAAGCTTATCGGGTTAACGAATGCACCTCTCGCCGTTTTTATCTTCCCTTTTAGGGGCTCCGCTCGAGGGGGTAAAGGTTGCGATTCGATAAAACTCCGCAGGGTAGTGTGTGTGTGTGTGTGTGTGTGTGCGTGCGTGCGCGTGTGTGGCAGAGGAGGAAGGGCGGAAGACCCTGTTCCTTATTTAGAATTTGCGCGATCGAAGCTGAGACTATACAGAGACTATAAGCGGTCGCGCGGCATTTCTAATTCATCGCGGTATGCTACGTAGGAATAACGCGAGCAACGGACGGAGGTAAATTGACAATAATTTCACCCTATTGAGAATCGCGGATTCGGCTTAGAAGCTGATTTCATATTCCGTCTCGCAGCCGGAATACGAAGATGAGATTCTCATTTGCGGCTGGCTCGCTCTCTCTCTCTCTCTCTCTCTCATTGAAATTTCTTGACTCGGTCGTTTCGATGTCTCTCGAGCTGGTCCGCGCGATAATAGCCGGATCATCTCTGCTCTCGCCGGCACGGCCGGAGGATTCGACGCTCTCCGCACTCTTTTAATTACACCGCGCGCAGCATCCGCGGGAAATTTCGACGCAGCGAACGGCGACAGTGCGAGCCGTCGAAGAACACATGCGAAGAATGCATCGCGGGGTATTTTTTAATTTGGAAAAGTGCGTCCGCAGGTGCGCGCGGTATTCCCAGTTGATTTTTCGGGACAAACAGCGTCGGGAGCAAGTTTCATCGCGCACGCGCGCGCGAGCATTAAATATTTCAATTTTTACCTTCGCGTTGAAATTCTTCGCGGAACAACAGCGCGAGCGCTCTCGCTCGAAGCAGAGACGGCGAAATTTTAACGACGAATATCCCACGAAAGGTCGTTGAACACTCCTCTTTTTCCCGCGACAGAAAGTAGAGAAAAGAACGAAAACATTCGGAGGCACGCGCCAAGTACGGGCCGCGCTTTGCCGAATTGCGGGATTCTCAAACCGCGCGAAGATCCCCGCGCGTCTTTTCCTCCGCGTGAGATGCGTCATACGGCGCACACAAATAACGGCCATCGGACGATGAAACGCGCGCGAGATCGCGCAGGAGAGAGAGAGAGAGAGAGCGAGAGAGAGAGCGAGAGAGAGTGGTCAACAGACGCAGATGAAAACGAGCGCCGGAGAATTCTCACGCCGACTCGGCCCGCGCACATTCGGAACGAAAAACAATCTCGCCGCTGCTAAAGCCGTTTACGCGTGTACGGGCGCGCGAGCGAAAGCGGAATCCTCCGGCGTGTAATCCGAGTGGATAATGGACATCGAACGGAGAAAAAGGGGGAAAACAAAAAGAGGCTATATCCTGTCTCTCCGCCGCGGCCGAATCCGCTCGCCGGCGGCGGGAGGGAGAGGTGAGCCGCGGGCGGCAGAGGGTAGAGAGGCGAACAACACACAGGCGGGTAGGTGGCGAGCGCGGCTGCCTGGAGAATGAAGCGCAGGGGGCGAATCAGTGCGAATGGAAGTGGACGTTAGGTCGACCGATCGTCCTCGACGCGCGTCCGGCGCGGTGGCGGCGGCGGCGGCGGCCCGGTAGAGGAGTCGCGCCGCGAGTCCGAAGACGTACGAACGGCGTCGAGCGTTGCCGAAGCGACGAACCCTCTGTCCTCGGCGAGCGTCGCCCCACCACATCCAGTCGCACCGCGAATGCCATATCGTGCGTTTCGTACGCGCGTTCTTCCGTGCGCTCGTCCCTCGTAAAACTACACACGGGCCCCCGACGACGCGACGTGTGTGTCTCGCCAGCGCGGTGCGGAGAGAACGCGGAATCGGGAACGTTTTCGCTTCGCGGGACGACGTTCGCTGGCGTCTTTCGCTCTCTCTCTCTCTCTCTCTCTCTCTCTCTCTCCCTCTCCCGCTCCCTCTCCCTCTCTCTCTCTCTTTATCTCGCAACATTCTGTCCTCTTGCCTCGTGTGTCTTGTCCGCTTCGCCGAAAAATCTTCGCCAAGGAGAAAGCAGAGAAAGAGAGGGGGAGGGGGGGAGAGAGAGAGAGAGAGAGAGAAAGAGAGAGAGAAAGAAAGAAAGAAAAGCATCGTGAGAAGAGATCGCAGAGTGCCACCGATCGCCGCGAACTTCGCCGTGCTCGGTGGCCAGCGCGCGCGCGCGCGCGCGCGCTCCGCGCGCGTTTCTCCCGCTTTCGGCTGGGCTGTCGCGGGAGACTCGCGCTTCGCCGAAGGCGAAAAGAACGACAGTAAGTCGGGGTAGAGAGAGAGAAAGAGAGAGAGAGAGAGGGGGGAGAGAGAGAGAGAGAGAGCGGGAGCCGGAGCGAGCGCGTGCTGTTCGTGTTTGGCGAAACGGCAGCACGAGACCGACGTCGCCACCGCCGTCCCGCCGTTGAAACCAGCCGATCCTCGATGTGTGGGAAGAAAGTGCGCGAGTCAACAGCGGTAACGCGCGCGCCAAGTACGCGGCCAGTACCGTAGACGGCCGGCTGTGATTGGCCGGTGCGGTAACGCAAGATCCAAAAAACCGCGACCGTTTCGCCGCGTCCGGCTGCGATTTCGACACGCGCGCGCGTCCATCACGTCGGTGTGGTCGTTCGCGTAATCGGGGAAAAACTGCTCATCCAACTTTCTTTCCAAACGGAGTCGCGAGCGCGAGGGCGAAACGCGCCGGAGACGTCCAGAGACGGAGGGGGAGAGAGAGAGAGAGAGAGAGAGAGAGAGAGTCGTGAGCAGTGGTCGACGATCGCTTTCGAAATGCGCTCCGGACGGACGATGACGCCGCGACGTCGCCTGTAACCAGCACCGTGCAGCCGCCGCGTCCCTCCCGCGTTCCCGTCGTCGTCGTCGTCGTCGTCGTCATCGGCGTCCGTCAATCCGCGAGTCCGCGGTCGCGCGTATCGACGAGGCCCGCGCGCGGGTTATGACGCGCCGCGTCGCTTAGGGACGCTTCCTGGGGACGGCTTCGAGCAGCCCGCCCGTGCGTGCGTGCGTGCGTGCGTGCGTGCGAGCGAGCGAGACACTACGGCGACGATGGAGCCCAGCGAGCAGCCGGCGACGGCCGCCGGTGAGTCGTGGTCGTCGGTGCCGGCGACCAAGGGCTCGTCTTGCCTCGAGGTGTCGATGCCGAGGAAGTTCCGCGAGGAGGCCCGCCGCGCGCGGGCCCCGGACCTCAACTGGGCGATGTGTGCCCTCTGCGTCGCCAGCCTCGCCGTGTCCGGCGTGCTGTACTACCGCGAGCTCGGTCTGGAGTCCAGGATCGCCAATCTCGAGGCCCGCTGCAGCGGCCAGCAGCTCTCGCCGCCGTTGCCGTCGGACGCTCTCCTCGTGCAGACCGGGGAACGGCTCGCGGCCAAGTCCAACGCGGTCTTCAGGATCAAGCGCGACGTCGCCGAATGCAATTGTCCTCAAGGTGAGTCGCGCGTGAACCTTCGGTCTCGTTCCTCCGCGAACGGCGCGCGCGAAAGGTCGGCCCCCCCTTCGAGAAGACCCGTTCGAAAAGACGCTTTCCACTCTCGGTACTTTGGATCAGCGTCGGCTATCGATCTGCTGAAATTTCGTCCGACTGGAGCGATGAGAATGTTCGCACGGAGCAAGTCGTCCAACGATCGCTCTTCAGTCGTTTGCTCCGATTCACTTGATCTAGCCGTTTGATCGATCATCGACGATCAATGCCGCTCGAATGACGCTTACGCGACGATTTAAGCGGAATTTCGGCTATTTGTCCGCCGATTATTATCTCAGTCAAGCGAGATCATCTCCGCTCTGCGTTTTGCTAACCGCACGTCAGGACGGCAAGTCCTGGCCGAGACGCAGCGTCGCCTTCTGTCGTCGGCGCTTGTCCGCTCGTGGAATTTTCATTCGCGACAGCAATCGCGATTACTTAATGACCCGCCGCTGCGCGATGATTCGCGACGGCGGCGGCGGCGGCGGCGGCCGAATGGCTCGAATTTCTAAATCACGCGTTACTTCTGAATGAAGATAATCGCACGCGAGGAAGCGCGAGTGTGCGCGCTCGTGAAATTCCCATTATAATATCTCGGCGGCATTGCGCGGGATTGCGCAAAGCCGCGCAATGCTCACCTGTGCCGCGTGCGCGATTTCTAAATCGCCGATTATCCCGCCGCCCGCCGCTCGGTGAAAGTAATTATAAATCGCGAGCGCGCGCTGCGCGTTTCGAGAACTCGCCGTTCGCTCGCGCGCGCGCTCGCGTGTCATTTCGCAGTCGATGCAGTACGACTGCACACTCGACGCCGCGTCCGCGGAATGACTGCAGCGCGTTTTATCGTTCGGCCGCGCCGGCTAACGGCCGTCGTACCGCGCTGAGAATTTGCACGTCGGTAGAGTGTTAACTGCGGGACGGCCGCGCTGTGTAATTTACAGCGACTCCAAAATAGCGGAAGCGTCCGAGGAACTCGCAGAGAGAGAGAGAGAGAGAGAGAGAGAGAGAGAGAGAGCGAGCTCGCTGTTCCGTTTAAATACGCCGGGGCGGCCTCGTCCCCGACGCATTGTCTCGTGGCAGTCGTGCTGGAAGCTCGGCGTGAAAAACTTGCGGAAAACGAGTCGCGGCCTTTTCTTTTCTTTGCGCGGTCGTTGCAGGAATCGTCGGAGGCGAAAGCGGAGTCGCAGGTACCTGCGACGCTCGGCGCCGGCGAAACGGCACGAGCTTGCTGATCGTAAGCGGAAATCGAAGAGAGGGAAAGAGAGAGAGAGAGAGAGAGAGAGAGAGAGCGTAGGTGTCGTCGTGATTCCTGAATTTCCTGCAGTTTGATCGTAGCCGCGACAAACTTGATCACGGCAACAGCCACGCTTGTCTTTGGACGCGTAAACATCTCCGGCGAAACGACGCCTTTTCGTCTCGCGATAATAGATGAGAAGGGGAACTCGAAAGGTTTCGAAGAGTTTCGGCCTCGACACACCGGTTCTCGTGCCGAAGCGTGCACGAGCGTGTCGTCGTTAATTGATCACGCTGAAATCGAATCGGACTGTCGTAAAATATTCACGCAATTTTTTTCACGCGCCCGCGTCGCCGCGGCGATATAACAGCTGCGTCGCGACGATAAAGGCCGGTTTACACAACAGCGGCAGCAGCAGCAGCAGCAGCAACATCGCTAACGCAACGTGTTTTCGACGATTGCAGAGTAAACGCGATTCGAGACCGCTGGAAAACAACGATTGTTCGAGCAGCAAGCGCCGTTCGAACGTGTCGATCGCATTTTGTTATTAACCTATTTATCGCGGAGAGAAAGGAACGTTAATAACGCGCTTTTTTGACGTTTCGACGTTCGGGAAGAGAGGGGCGGGGAGGAGGTTTGTTATCGACAAAAGTTGGTAATTTCGGCGGCAGGTTGTCGGTAACTTTGTCGCCAACGTTCGTGCGAGCGACATTACTTTTGCAAGCCGTCGCTGCAGCTCTCAACGGACGTTGCGAAGGCAAACGTTATTAGCCGAGAATCGAACTTTAGCCGCAATTCTGTCTGCGCTCGCCGGTGTAAACGGGCTCTTACGGGCTGCTACGGCTTTGTCGTTGTCGCTCGCCGATCACACATTGTCATGCGTTGCACACTGGGGATGCCGATTTTGTTTTCAAACAGATTGATTTAAAGATCGATTCGAATCACGAAGCAAGAAATCGGTTTGTAAAGAATCGATTTCAGAAAATCGATTTGAATCGGTATGCGTGTAAAGTGAAGCACTCATTAAAGTATACTATCTGTCAAGTTTCTACACTCTAAAGTAGTAAATACCTCATGTAATTCATATAAAGTTTAATACGAATTGAAGATATTAAACAGATGGTACTCTTTTGGTTGTGTTGTGTATGGCCGCAACAAGGTAGAAAAAGATCTTTAAATCTCTATGCTAAGGATTCAAGTTTGTAGTTTGATTAAACATCAATCAAGGATTTTTAAACGTTATTAAATAAGAAATCACACTTGTTATTATATGCGTATACATATATATAATATATATAATATATACTATTATATGAAGTGGCTGTGATTGGTTGGTCCGCGCGTTCCGTTCCGCTGAAAATTTTCGCCCATGGGACATCGGCCTAAAAGGCAACGTAATGTGCATCGTGCAGTCATTAAGCGAGTTCAAATATTACAACTAAAAAGAATAAAAAAGAAAAATTATGTTACTAGTAGAAACTGTAAAAATCGTGTTGGCGATTTTCAGAATTTACAGATCGGTCCTTGAATCGATTCAGTCCGAGAAAATCGATTTGAAATCGATCTTTTAGGTTCCGATTAAACGATCTTCGATTAGATCGATTTCGAAAATCGGCACGCACTGTCGCGGAGAAGCGCATCTTCGTCGGAAGCATCGGGAGCTCCCCCCAATTATTTCCGAGCTTCCGCCGTTGGCTCTCGCCTATTCACATCGTGCCGGCGATTCTTTCTCGCCGTCGGTGCGGACGTCGCGAGGATAAAGAGGCGGCGGCGCTTTCGCGGCCGTGATCGCAACGCCGTAATTCGCAAGTTCATCTTCGCCGCAGACGAGAGCTCTCCTCATCTCTCTCGAATCGCCGCGCGGCCGACGTCGCGTTTGATACCGTCGCGCGTCTCTCGCGTCCGTTTGAAACTCTCCGTTCCGCCGAGCGGTTCCGCAAATCCCCCCCCCCCTCCCCCGGCTCCTTTTACGCCGCCTCCTCTCGACTCTTATTCGCGACAAAACAAGACAGCGAAAGGGCAAAACGCGCGCCCCGCGAGAGTCTCGCCGGCGCCGCGAAGGTCGCGGAATGCGAAGCGGGCAAGAATGAAAAAAGAAACTGGCGGATGAGAGAAAGAGGAGCGCGTTTCGCCCGCAAAGAGATCCCTCTCTCACTCTCTCTCTCTCTCTCTCTCTCTCTCTCTCTCTCTCTCTCGGTGGCTAAATCTCGTTGTCGACTACGACGGTTTCGGATTAAGCTTCTCGCGCCATTCCGGTTGGGTGCTAAGCAAATGTCATCGTGCACTTTCAAAGGAACACGACGACGACTGCGGCGGGGCAGAGGGGAGGGGGGTGGTGAGCTCTTTCCCGGGCGCTCTTATCGTCATCCGTCGGCATTCCGCTCGCCAGCTCGAGACCGCGCGACACGACGAGAGAGAGAGAGAGAGAGAGAGAGAGAGAGAGAGAGAGAGAGAGAGAGCGGGGAGGGGAGAAGGAGAGATCGGCGATCGTCTGAATGAATTCAGCCGCGGAGAGACGGCGGCGGTGTCGAGTCGACTCGCGCGACACGCGACCCGCCGATTCTTCTCCGCACTCCGCGCGAAGCAGTCGAACTATGCGACTAACTGCGTATAAGCGAGAAGGCACGAGCATTACGACGGGGAAACTCGATCGCGAAGTTGGGCGTAATGTTCAAGTATTTATCGGGCACGGTTTTCTCCGGGCCGGTTGAGCGCGCGGCGCGACGCGACGCCTGTCTTTCGTCTTCCTGCGCCTTCGAGCTTTCGCGAGCTGATAATCGTGAGATCGCGGTTTGCTCGACGAGAGGGGCTCTCGCGTGCCTCGCCTCTAATGGAAATCATTCTCATCGGAAAGTTGTGCAACGCGGCATTCTTCTCTATCAACCCTCGCGATCTGGAAAGTTACCGCGTTGGCGTGACGGCGGTCTCATATTTTTCTCGCGAACCACCCTCTGGTATGCGCGAAAAGGAAATTGCGGTCGAAAGGCTGCGGAAGGAAAAGGCCGCGACGAGTACTGTGTAAGGACCTCGTCGAGACTCGGGCATTCAGCCTCTGAGAACTCGCTCGGGGAGGGGCCGCCGATATCCTCGCGCCGATATCGCGGCTCCGCTCGGCCTGCGACGATTCCTCGAAATCTGCGCGCGCTCCTGCGGGCGAGGATTCGCCCGTGAGAGATCGCCGAATTCCGACCGACGAATGGAACGTGCACGCTCGAGTTCTCCGTGGAAAATTCGCGCGATCTCCCCGTTTAATACGTCTAATTGCACGATTTACCGTTTCGCGGTCGCCGCGCGGGAGAAACGGGATTGCCGGTGAAATCGGCGCAGCTTTGTGCGCGCCGGAGGAGGAGCCGGAGGAGGAGAAGATGGAGAAGGCTTCTTCCTGTCATTAAGGCAGATGAGCGATTGCTTCATTGCAACTTTCATCGGCTCGCACCGCTCGCGTGCACTCGCGTCACGATAATCCCGCGTGCGTGTCGGCAATTCGCCCGACGCGCGGAGAAAAGCGACGCTCGAAAATATCCACGTGTTTATTTTGCCCGGCGTGTCCATCATCTCTCTCTCTCTCTCTCTCTCTCTCTCTCTCTCTCTCTCTCTGTGACGTTTACGTAGCTGCGAACATCCGCGCTTCGGGGCGATCGGCAGGTTGCGCGCGCGAGCGCGTGTCGCCGATATTCCCAGGTAACGAATTAACGCGCGGATAACGGATGAATGAAAGGGTCTCGCGTGTTTCCGC